CCGTACAACGCGCAGATCATGGACACAGAGGATCGGTCGTGAGGCCTGCTGTCTGTGCTCAGCCCCAAGCCCTCGACGAAGACATCGCCACACTTTGTCACGTCACCATGTTATGCCCTGTAAGGGTTTAAGGTTTAGGGTTTAGGGTTTAGGGTTTATGCCCTGTAGGTGTATCCGATTGTCTCACCAACGTTTTCGCTTTCCGACCGTTCCAACACCCCGCCTGAAGGATGATTTCTGGGCAGAAACCCTAAACCCTAAACCCCAAACCCTAAACCCTAAACCCTAAAGCGCGCTCATCTGCAGCCCTATCTTGATCGGGAATGGTTTGGCAGGCTGTTTTCTTGCTGATGCCAGAGGTTGAGGGCCAAACTGTTTTGGAGTTCGACGACGGAAAAGAAGGTAGGCCTTTTTATATTAAAACATTTTGTTTTTCAAATTTTTAAAGTAGCTATAGGCCCTTTGTTTTGTTTCCCTGGTGTCCAGCAGTCTGAATCTTTTCCAAGAGTCTTGAGTCAAATCCAACGGCGTTTAACGAATTTTTTGTTGCTTTTCACGATTTGGGACCCCTAATATCCCCTACTCAAAAGAGCAGGGAGGAATCCTAGTCCTAGTTCTGGCACTGCCAGAAGGGGGAGTGTGAACAGCTCAACGCAACATATTGTCCTATTCTGCCGTGCGTTAGGGTCGTCTGTTTATCGCAGAAACGCAGATGCCCTTAAACAAAAGGGGTCTGGAGAGCTGGTGTTCTGGGGTTTAGGGTTTAGGGTTTAGGGTTTGGGGTTTAGGGTTTAGGGTTTAGGGTTTAGGGTTTGAGGGGTATCCCTCTCCTGTCTGCTTTGGGTGGCTTTGGGTTGTTTCTATTATCCTAAACCCTAAGCCCTAAGCCCTAAACCCTAAACCCTAAACCGGGTTGTTTCTATTATCCTAAACAACAGCCAGAGCTGTGAGTGCCTTCCTGCGGTGGGGGCTTCGGGCTGCCTTCGCGCAAGGGCTTACAGTTTAGGATTGAGGATTTAGAATTTAGAGTTTAGGGTTTGGGGTTTAAGGTTTAGGGTTTAAGGTTTAAGGTTTAAGGTTTAAGGTTTAAGGTTTAGGGTTTAGGGTTTAGGATGTAGGGTTTAGGGCTCAGGGCTTAGGCTTAGGACTCGAGGCTCGTTTAAGGTTTCGACGACCCAAGTTTTGCAGAACTCGCTGCTATGGTCAGGGTAGTCGCCACGGCCATGGAGCATTGACTCATTCATTAGACCTTTAGACCTACACCGTTGAACCCGAAACTTGAAATCCTAAACCCTAAACCCCAAACCCTAAACCCTTTAACTGCACTCGGGCACGGGGCGGTGCTGCGTGCGCTTGCTCGCCAGCCCCGCACACCCATGATCACCATTTCATAACTGTGACTTCCTTTATCGTTATCGCTACTGTCATCAACATCGTAAGAAGTGCCATTCCCACATCGCCCGTAGAAATCTCAGGTGTCATGAGCGTTGGTACTGATAGTGGCACTAGCCTCGATATCAGCACCAGCATGGTCATCATCAGCAGCGTCCCTGTTAGCAGCATTGCCATGACCCGTAGCGCGAGCGCTAGGCCGCTAGGCATTAACATTATCGCCTCGGACAGTTTGTGATATTGATATTGCCATGTACCTTATCGAGTCTCGTTCTTATTGCAATGCGTCTTACGTCCCGATCATTGTTAATCATTCTTGGTACTATGCAGCTACCAATGTTAAGTAAGTTGTGACTATGACACCGCCTCCATTACTGCATGGGCTCATTGCTGCGTACATTGTTTCAGGCTGAAGATGAGTTTTTGAGGATTTAGGGTTTAGGCATTAGGGGGGGTTAGGGTTTACGCTTTAGGGTTTAGGGCCTAGGTTTCTTCTTCCCGCCTTTTGGACAGATGTGTAGTGGTTTGCCTTACATCGGAGAGCCACTACTGGAGGCAATGCACGCAGACATCCCTGTTTTCATCCATTGATAATCCTAGGACTATCTTGGTGGGGTTGAAGGTTTAGGGTTTATATAGGGTTTACGCCCATCCTTGTTTGGCGCCTGATTGCGACAGACATGTCCGTTGAAATTGCACAAGTCTGCAGGCTTTCAACCCGAACTTCTGAGATGTTGCCAATTTTGTCCAGACCTTGACAGGCTGCGAATTGATGGGGGTTTAGGGTTTCATGGTTAAGCGTGTTGGAGATGAGTTCAGGGGTTGGGGTAGAGGATTTAGGGTTGAGGGCTTAGGCCCTAAACCCTAAACCCTAAACCCTAAACCCTAAACCCTAAACCCTAAACCCTAAACCCTAAACCCTAAACCCTACACACTAAACCATCCTTTGGAGATCCTTTCCTTCCGCAAGCCTAAACCACAAAGCCGACATTTGAAGCCTTGGCCTGCACCCCAAACCCTTTGTCCTCCACCCCAACACCAAATCCTCAACCCGAAATCCTCAGCCGTAAATCTCCACACCTAGTTCCTCAACCATAGTTCCTCAGCCCTAAATCCTCAGCCCTAAATCTCCAACCCTAAATCCTCAGCAGCAAACACTGGCAAACACTCGACCCTAAATCCTGAGCCGTAATTCCTTGGCCGTAAATCTTCAACCCTAACTCCTCAGCCCTAAAAGTCTTCAGACGTAAGTTCTCAACCCTAAATTCCGAAGCCCTAAATCCTGTTTTTCCTTCCCCCGGCTTACATGCGGCCGATCGGTGATTCGATTCAGGTTTAAGGTGTCGGGCAATGGATTTTTTCGCACCTTAAGTCCCAAACCCTAAACCCTAAGTCTAAACCCTAAACCCTGAACCCCAAATCCAAATCAAACCCGAAGCCCTAAACCCAAACCCAAAACCATCAAACCCGAAACCATCAAACCCAAAGCCCTAAAGCCCAAACCCTTAACCCAAAACTAGATGTAAGCCCCAAATCAAAAACCAAAAACACTAAACCCTGTACTGATACTGCTGTTATAGGGGTCCTTCGTCGTCAGCTGATGCATCCGTTTTAGGGTTCAGGCTATGAGATTAGGATTTAGGGGTTAGGGTTGAAGCTTTAAGGTTTGGGATTTAGGGTTTAGGGTCCACATTAGGGTTTAGGGTTCAGGGTTCAGGGTTCTTAGGGTTTAGGGTTAATTTGGAGGGTTTAGGGTTTGGTGTCTAAAGTTTAGGTCTGGGATCTAAGAGTTTATGAGGCTTTAGGGTTTGGAATTTTAGGGTTTAGGCTTTAGGGTTTAGGCTTCAGGGTTTCGAATTTCGTTGTGATGTCTGCCGATGCGCATTCGCAGTCTGGCCTGGCCCCTCCCCTGCCTCAGCTTTGACTTTGGGCAGTTGGGATGGATTTAATTTGACTTCGAACCCCTAAACCCTAAACCCCTAAACCCTAAACCCTAAAGCCTAAACCCTAAACCCTAAACCCTAAACCCTAAACCCTAAACCCTAAACCCTAAACCCTAAACCCTAAACCCCTAGAGTTCAGAGCTTCATGCGGTGCACGGTGACACGATGCCTAGCACCACCGTTGTTTTAAAGCCGTTCGTGCTGGGTTTGCCGTAAATGCTCGCATACCTGACTACGTAGTACATACAGGCAACTATAAAGCCTGCTGTAGCTCTACAGTGATCCAGAGCTCTTCGGGAAAGCCGGTGCCCTTTGGTTCTACAGGCATGTCTGAAAGCAAAAGATCGCTGTACAAGGCAGACAAAACCGTTAGGGCGCGATTGATCATTCACGTCCATGCTGGAATCGGCACGGTTTGAAGTTCAAGGAATTTTTGGGAAAACAACTCCTTCGGGAAGATTCAGCCGAAGGAGCTTCGTGCTGAGTAACGGAAGGGTTTCAGGTTAAGGTTCAGGGTTTCGGGTTTTGGGTTAGGGTTTGGGGTTTAGGGTTTGGGGTTTAGGGTTTGGGGTTTAGGGTTTGGGGTTTAGGGTTCAGGGGGCTGTGCAGTTCAAGATTCGGCGCTTGGGGACTGACAGGATTTGCAGCATGTATTTCGGGTTTGTCTTAGGCTTTAGGCTTTATAGGGTTTAGGGTTTAGGGTTCAACCATTTTGGATTTGTTGTTTTCATTTTTGGATTTGGGGTTTAGGATTTGTTGTTTTCATTTTAGGATTTGGGGGTTTATCTTTTGTAGAGTTTAGGCTGTGATAGGTTCCGAGGTTTAGGATGTGGTTGGGAATTAGGGTTCATGGGTTTAGGGTTTAGGGTTTAGGATTTAGGGTTTAGGCATTTCAGGTTTGTCTCATTAAGGCCTCGCTTGCCGAGCCTGACATGTTTACAGGGTTTAGGGTTTAGTATAGGGTTTAGTATAGTGGGTTTAGGGTATAGGGTTTAGGGTATAGGGTTTATTTAGGGTTTAGGATCTAGGATTGAGGGTTTAGTTTAGGGTATAGTCTAGGGTTTAGGGTATAGTTTAGGGTACAGGGTATAGGGTTTAGGATCTAGGATTGAGGGTTTAGTTTAGGGTTTAGGATCTAGGAATGAGCGTTTAGTTTAGGGTATAGTATAGGGTTTAGGGTCTAGTTTAGGGTATAGGGTATAGGGTTTAGGATCTGATATTGAGGGTTTAGGGTTTAGGGTTTAGGGTTTAGGGATTGAGGGTTTAGGGTTTAGGGTTTAGGGTACGGGGGGACAACCAAAGGGGGAAAGGAAACCAGAAAATCAACCCCATTAATTGTCCTGAAATTATATCCCCCAGCACGAACCAAACCAAGACAGAGTTAAGGTTATTCAGGCACACCAAGGAGGAGGAGGGGCTTACCTTCAACCCGACCCCCAAACCCCAGCTCACACACCTTTTGAACGGACAGCAAGAGGCCATCCTTTTGCCAACGTATTACGGGGTACATTGACCCTTGCAACTTCAAACCTGAAGTTCCTTTTGAACCTCCGCACTCCCCCTGTCCCTGACACTTCTGGGACATTTCAGGGAGGTTCCCTACTTGGCCAAAAACTGTCTCTTTGACACGGTCGATAAACATTAATTTTTAGGCACCTCATTGGG